GGCCCCTGTGTCCTTGCCCAAACTCAAAAAAGCCTATGAAAAAGGTACCAGGGGCATCTCATGGGGCCCCCTTCTGACCCCGGGCCCTCGGGCACTGCCCGAGTTTCCAAATGGTCAGTCCGCCCCTGGTCACCACATTTAAGATCAGCCACCACATCTAAACACATTTTTGTTTTTGGGTTTAGATATCTCTTTGGACACAATTTTCAGTGTATGCCCCCCCCCCCCCCCCCCCCCATATTACCTTCAAGCTCTTGTGTGAACCTGACCAGCCAAGAGATTGAAGAACTGTTCTCTAGGACAATGTTAAGTTTGGACCCTCAGTTACCCTTTAGTCTGTCAGCTGGGTTTTTGAAACAACTCTGAATTATTTTTATTAATGCAAACCTTCACTCAAAAATGCCACCTTTCTGGCTGTTCCCTCGCCTTCTCCTGCAACTGGATAAAAATTCCTAATCTTTAAAAAATTTTCTGGTCTTTTTAGTGCTGCCTCCTGGGCAGTAGAAACACCTGTGGACGCATAGACGGTTTTTGGTCATGTGCGCAGGCACCGCAGGTATCATGGTCCCATGTGTAGGTGAGCTGCAGGTCTCTGCCAGGTCCCAAAAACCTGGCAGAGACCTTTGGCAAATCAGTGCAAGTGCCAGATACTCAAGATTCACTTGAATATGTTGCGCTAAGCAGGGGCTACACCCCCCAAAAGATATAGTTCCTGCCATGGCATGTGCACAGCCCTGGCCTTTACCTCTACAGCTAACAGGGCAGTGGTTGGGGGGTCTACCGCCCCTCAAGCACTAGTATGAACGAACCTTTAGATCAAGGCTTGATCTGGTTTAGTGTGTCAGTGTGCTTTAGGTGGAAAAAAAGCTTTTATATTTGGTGTCATTGTGGTCCATGGTCCATGACCATGTTAGGAGTAGGAGAATTTACTTGTTTTGGTGGTGGGCCATGGTAATGCCATGAAAATATACAGCTAAAGTTCTTTTAATATTTTGAGACAGTTTTCTGTTTTTAATTAAAAAAATATATCAATAACATTTGTCCTGAACAAAAGAAGGTATAATTCACCTGGAGTGTCATATGATTTTGCACATGTAGGAAGCTGCCAACGGGGAGTTACTTAGTACAGCTAGTTGGTCTGCCCAGGCTGGGGAAGGGGTTAGTTTCTAGGACCTTGGTTCCCAGGCTTTTTCTAGGGCCAGCCTTCCATCCAATGGCATACATCGGATCAAGAGAGAGCTCCCAGACAGTAGTTTGTTAGAGTGTACCACAAGCCTGGAGTCAAAAAGTTCAACAGGCAGCATGTAGCCCCATCAGATACTAGGGCTCCCATGGACACCACCAGTCTTTGGAGATCGCCAGTTATGGACTAACACCTGTAAAGGTATGCCTTGGCAGCCACCTCCACTAGTTAGTTTAGGGTTTGGACCATGTTGTGTTTGTTATTTATTTTGCTACGAAGAGTTACAGTAAAGTTCATTAAACTGTTTCAAAGCCTGGTCTGCAGTTACTCTAAGGCCCCTTTCACACAAGCAGACACATGACCATTTGCACCCGCTACTCCATAGGGGATAATAGGGTCTGCCTTCAAAACTGCCTTAAAACCGTCAGGCAGACCTGTTCAGACCTTCAGTCCTCTATGCAGCAGCAGGTGTAAGCACACATGTGTCCGTTTACACCTGCCTACATCCAAATCCGCTAAAAGCAGGTGTATTGGTATGTTCCTCTACCATCTAGTGCAAGGGTCTCCAAACTATGGCCCTCCAGGTGTTGAGGAATTGCAAGTCCTATGAGGCCTTGCAATGCTCTGACAGCCATAGGCAAGACTCCCAGAGGCAGAGGCATGATGGGACTTGTAGTACTTCAACAGCTGGAGGGCCACAGTTTAGAGACCCCTGGTCTAGCAGATCGGATCAGATGGCAGTCAGGCAGTCTGTGTACATCGGAATGCCCATAGAGGAGAGCAGGCTGTGCCTGGGTCCACTCTGCATGAACAGACATGGACCAGTCATCTGCCTGCTCAGCGGGGATCAGCGAACAAATTCCCTGCTGAGCAAGCAGACTCCTGGCAGAGTCCGCCCCATTGGAAGTAGCCTAAGGGGGTGCTTGATGTTTTCCTGGCGTATAGAACAGGGCTACCACTCCATCCCCCACAGCTTTTCCTCCCGTACCACTATCCCCTCCCTCCTAGATTGTAAGCTCCAAGGAGCAGGGTCCTCTAACCCCTCGTGTATCGCACTGTATTGTTATTGTACTGTCTCATGTATTGTCTCCCATTGTAATGTACATCGCTGAGCGAACTGTTGGTGCTATATAAATACTGTATAATAATAATAATAGTAATGAGGGAATCCTCCCCGCTGTGACATTGTATTTTGACAGTGGGGATTCCCTTGCCCTCAGAATACACTGATCAGTGCTGCAGCTGATTGGATGATTGAAGCAAAATTCTCCAACTATCCAATTCAAAAGCAATTGGTCTTTGGAATGACTGCTCTTGAAGGAGAACGTCCATTCATGGACTGAAATTCAGCTGATTCCGACTGAACCGTTCAAATTTGATCCATCTATGTCCAGCTTTAGATACACTTTGAGTGAAGTCATCTCTTGTCTACTAGTGGCACAGTCTAGGTGTATCTGAATGGAAGGGGTAGTTTAGCCACACCTGGGTATGCAACCAATAAATGTGCTAGAACACCATGATAATTGGGGGAACAATAAAACCAGCTATCCATGGTGACAACAAACATTGCCATACTGTGACAAATGAAAAAAAAAGCAGTGATTAATAGCTAGTCATTGTCACCACACAGACATGCTTTGTTACTTAGTAACTAGAAACGTTATTCATATTTGTCACCATCAGATAACAAAAATCAAACTTACACATTGCCGTGTAGATACACATTTACCAAGGGCAGCCATAGAATAATTGATTTGCTTTCCTTCCACCATGGGGGAAGCCCTTCAGCAGCTCTACTGTATCCTGCCGGCTGAGGGGGTGCGGAGTGAGTGACAGTGTGTACACAGTGGGGGGCCCTGAGTACATTTGAAGTGACGGTGTGCATGATGGGGCCCCTCAGTACACCTGGAGTGACAGTATGCACAGTGAGGGGCCCTTCAGTACACCTGAAGTGACAGTGTGCATGGTGGGGGGCCCCGAGTACATTTGAAATGACAGTGTGCATGATGGGGCCCTTCAGTACACCTGAAACGCCAATATACAGGGTGGGGGCCCTTAAGTACATCTGAAGTGACAGTGTACACAGTGGGGGGGGCCCTCAGTACATCCGAAGTGACAGTGTGCAGGGTGGGGCCCCTCAATACATCAGAAGTGACAGTGTGCATGGTGGGGGGCCCCAAGTACATTTGAAGTGACAGTGTGCATGATGGGGGTCCCTCAGTACACCTGGAGTGACAGTATGCACAGCGAGGGGCCCTTCAGTACACCTGAAGTAACAATGTGCATGGTGGGGGCCTCTCAATACACCTGAAACAAAAATGTACAGGGTGGGGGGCCCCTCAATACATCTGAAGTGACAGTGTGAACAGTGGGGGGCCCCCAAGTACATTTGAAGTGACAGTGTGCATGATGGGGCCCCAAGTACACATGAAATGACAATATGCAGGGTGGGGGCCCCTCAGTATATATGAAGTGACAGTGTGCAGGGTGGGGGCCCCTCAGTACACCTAAAGTGACTGTGCACAGTGGGGCCCCTCAGTAGACGTGTGTGGTTTGTTTCGTTCCGAATCGAAATTCGCACAACTTTTTCGTTATTCGTTACTTGGAATGTATAAGAATGTCCAAATTACAACAGTAATAAATGTAAACGAATCTGAAATAATAAAACAAAATTTTGGCTGAAATTCGAATTATAAACATATTGCTGATTTCCTTCAAAGATTGTGTGTATTTGTGTTAGAATATAGAGTAGAATATAGAAAAGAATAGAGTAAAATTGAACAGAATAGAATAAAAAATAAAATAATAAAATAGAATAGAAAATAATAAAATAGAGTATAAAATAAAATAATATAACAATAGAAAAGAAAATAAGGGAATAGAATAGAAAAATAAAGGAATAAAATAGAAAGTAATAGAACACAAAAGAATAGGCTGAAATGGAGCATAATAGAAAAGAAAAGAATAGAAAAGAATAAAGTAAAACAGAAAATTAGAAAATAGTAAAATGGTACAGAACAGAAAATAAAAAAAATAGAGAAGAAAAGAATAGAGTAAAACAGAACAAAATAGAAAATAAAAAAATAGAATAGAAAATAGGGGAATAGAATAGAAAATAATAGAATAGAATAGAAAGAATATATCCGTCTTCCGAAAATTTGAGTAGAATAGAAAATAATAAAATAGAATGGAAAATAAAATAATAGAACAGGATAGAAAAAAAAAAATAAGGGAATAGAATAGAAAATAAAGGAATAGAATAGAAAATAATAGAACAGAAAATAATAATAGAATAGAAAAAGAATAGAGTAAAATGGAACAGAATAGAAAAGAAAATAGAGTAAAACAGAAGAAAATAGAAAATAAAAAATAGAATAAAATAGAATAGAAAATAGGGGAATAGAACAGAAAATAATAGAATAAAAAAAATATAGCCATCTTCCAAAATTTTAAATTTGAATTTGAATGCGATTCGATACTTTTTGATTCGGTTGAATGTGAATACGAATTAAACAACACTAAAACTAAACTAAAGGAAATTATTTAAATGAAGAATCAAAGCGAAACGAAACACTTTTTTTGTCCTGCAGATGTCTGCCTATCAGTGAAGGGACAGTATGCAGGGTGGGGCCCCTCAATGGAGCGGAAGTGACAATGTACCCGGTGAGGGGCCCCTCATCACACCTGAAGTGAGCGGACACTGCGGAGCCCCCAGTCCCGGGGAAGAAGAAGAGCTGACCTCGGCTCTCCCAGGAATGCAGGAGGCGGCCCCGCCCATTGTTCGGGGCAGAGTGGGCGGGGCCTCGCCTTGCTGTTTATGAGGCTGAAGTCACCGGCAGTACACCCAGTCCAGGCTCCACTCAGCTCCGCACTGATGGCTTACCCCGGAGGAGGAGGATATTACCCGGCCGGTGGGGGTGAGTGTCGGCGGGGGATAATTCTCTGGTATCCGGGCTGCGCTCTCCGCAGTGGTCCTGCCCAGTCCCAGGGGACTGTATCGCTGTCCTGTGCATCGTACGTTGTCCTCCCCTGCAGGGGTGTAGTTTGGTTGTGTGCTGCCCTAGGCAACGCAAATATCGAACCCCCCCACAGGGAGACCCTGACATTGACCAACAACACCCCTGCCTCCCACCCGAGAGAGTGCCCCCCATACACCAGCCACCATCCCCCATACACAACCACTGCCCCCCATACACCAGCCACCATCCCCCATACACAACCACTGCCCCCCATACACCAGCCACCATCCCCCATACACAACCACTGCCCCCCATACACCAGCCCCCCACCATCCCCCCATACACCATGGTGACAGAGAGACACCTTCACATCTCCAGACATCCCCGGGAAGGAGAGTTGGGCTGTGCATACACCGTCATGAAACCCGCAGCCTCTCAGAACCTACCAGGTCTCCATGCCGGGAGTGTCCCTTCTTCCATCCCTTCTTCTGAGCTGCTGCCCCCCCCCCCTGAAAAAATGCCGCCCTAGGCAAATGCCTTGTTTGCCTTGTAGTAAATACACCCCTGCTCCCCGGGGCTGTATGCTGTCCTACCACAGGCCTTGTTTGCCTTCTGGTAAATATACCCCTGCTCCCCGGGGCCGTGCGCTGTCCTCCCCCGGGGCCGTGCGCTGTCCTCCCCCGGGGCCGTGCGCTGTCCTCCCTGGGGCTGGGTCTGTCAGATATTATACCCCCCCTGTTGTCTTCAGCAGACATAGGGCACCTTGAATCCAACCTAGTCAAGTAAATGGGACCACTCTGCAAGTGCCTCAATGCATGCTACGTCAGGGTTCAAGGGGTTAAAGCAGGCAGTGAGGAGGTGATGCAATGCCTCCTCACCACCTGCTTTCTGAAGAGCAATCTGAACATGGATCGCTCTTCAAATGGCAAAACACATGTGAATGAGCTTATGCATAGGAGATTTGTCTTCCCAGCCAATCGTGTGTCCGAACCCAGAAGAGGAGCAGATGGAGGAGCCAGCCATGAAGGGGAGTTTAGATATTATAGGGCTGGAGGAGGGGGGGTGGGGTGGCTTTGCCAAAGCATGCAAATACACTGTATGTACTTCCACATTGTAGCAAAATTCTCCTGGGGGCCCGAACGTTTCTTGTTTGCCTTCCCTTTGAAATTGACATTGACTACCTGGTAGTGCTGACAATGTAAAGCATGTTCTGTTGTAGCACCGAGAGTATCCGTCTGCATCAGGTTACATGGGACACTCCAGCACCAGCAACCCTTCCCGTAGTAACCAATCAGATGTTCGTTTCCAGCAACCTACATTCATCTCATTACAATAGACCTGGCAGCTGACAGAGGAATTAAATGTTAACCTGCAGCTCGTTTCTTCTGCAATAAATGACACTTTCCTGCCTGTTCACAATCCTCTGCAAAATATACACTGAAGTACATGCAGCACGCTGCCAGTGTGCCGGGATGACTGCGCTCCTGCACCGGCCAATCAAAACCACCAAAGCCTGGCACCCAGAAGAGGCCGGGGAATAGATGGTGGCAAGGGACCCTGCGAGTTCCGGACTGTTGGAACTAATGCTGGCCATGCACATATAGATTTTCATTGGAAATTTTTCGTTTTTACATGAATAAAGATTAGTGGGATCAAATCGGCATTCATTTTCTACCACAGAGACCAATACAAGTGAAAGGAGGTGTACCAGCTCACAACCACATACAGCGCCCATGGTTGGGGTATGGTGGGGTCACAATTTGTGGGTTAAAACAGGCAGTGAGAAGACAACATATCGCCTCCTCACCACCTGGCATACACCCTCGGAAAGCAATTCATCGCAGAGGGGCAGCAATAATAGTCACACGTGTTCACAAACCCTCACTGCCCTGCTTTGCAGCCTGGGGGCTACATGATGCCTTCAGGCACTTGTTGTGCAGCCCTCGGGGCTCCCACTGTCACTAGTCTGTGTTTCCTTATTGCTCTGTTATAGCCATGATTTCTAGAACTCTCATATAATGTGTCTCCAGTCTATGATGGTCTCTGATGCATGTTACCAGTTCCCATCAGCTCCTATATCATGTTCACAGTCTTTTATCGTCTCTTGCGTCGTGCCCGCAGCCTCTGACCGTCTCTTGCGTCGTGCCCGCAGCCTCTGACCGTCTCTTGCGTCGTGCCCGCAGCCTCTGACCGTCTCTTGCGTCGTGCCCGCAGCCTCTGACCGTCTCTTGCGTCGTGCCCGCAGCCTCTGACCGTCTCTTGCTCGTGCCGCAGCCTCTGACCGTCTCTTGCGTCGTGCCCGCAGCCTCTGACCGTCTCTTGCGTCGTGCCTGTAGTCTCTTGCATAGTGCCCGCAGTCTCTGACCATCTCTTGAGTCGTGCCCGTAGTCTCTTTCATTGTGCCCGTAGTCTCTTGCGTCGTGCCCGCAGCCTCTTACCGTCTCTTGCGTCGTGCCCCCGCAGCCTCTTACCGTCTCTTGCGTTGTGCCCGCAGCCTCTTACCGTCTCTTGCGTCGTGCCCGCAGCCTCTTACCGTCTCTTGCGTCGTGCCCGCAGCCTCTTGTGTCGTGCCCGCAGCCTCTTACCGTCTCTTGCGTCGTGCCCGTAGTCTCTTGCGTCGTGCCCGCAGTCTCTGACCTTCTGAAGGACCCTCTGCACACTGGTATATACCCTTTCAAGCAAACTATGCAACAAATAGGGATATTTTGGTTCACACACATATTGATCTCTTGTTCGCAGTCTCTGACAGTCTCTTGCGTCGTGCCCGCAGTCTCTTGCGTCGTGCCCGCAGTCTCTGACCATCTCTTGAGTCGTGCCCGTAGTCTCTTTCATTGTGCCCGTAGTCTATTGCGTCGTGCCCGCAGCCTCTTACCATCTTTTGCGTCGTGCCCGCAGCCTCTTATCGTCTCATGCGTCTTGCCCGCAGCCTCTTATCGTCTCTTGCATCGTGCCCGCAGTCTCTCTGACCGTCTCTTGCGTCGTGCCCGTAGTCTCTTGCATAGTGCCCGTAGTCTCTTGCGTCGTGCCCGCAGCCTCTTACTGTCTCTTGCGTCGTGCCCGCAGTCTTACTGTCTCTTGCGTCGTGCCCGCAGTCTCTTACCGGCTCTTGTGTTGTGCCCGTAGTCTCTTGCATCGTGCCCGCAGCCTCTTACCGTCTCTTGCGTCGTGCCCGCAGCCTCTTACCGTCTCTTGCGTCGTGCCCGCAGCCTCTTACCGTCTCTTGCGTCGTGCCCGCAGCCTCTTACCGTCTCTTGCGTCGTGCCCGTAGTCTCTTGCGTCGTGCCTGCAGCCTCTTACTATCTCTTGGGTCGTGCCCGCAGTCTCTTACCATCTCTTGCGCCGTGCCCGTAGTCTCTTGCATCGTGCCCGTAGTCCCTTGCGTCGCCCGCAGCCTCTTACTATCTTTTGCCGTGCCCACAGTCTGTTACCATCTCTTGCGTCGTGCCCGCAGCTTTACTATCTTTTGCGTCGTGCCCACAGTCTCTTGCTATCTCTTGCGTTGTGCCCGCGTCGTGCCTCTTGCGTCGTGCCCGCAGCCTCTTGCGTCGTGCCCGCAGCCTCTTGCGTCGTGCCCGCAGCCTCTTGCGTCGTGCCCGCAGCCTCTTACCGTCTCTTGCGTCGTGCCCGCAGCCTCTTACCGTCTCTTGCGTCGTGCCCGCAGCCTCTTACCGTCTCTTGCGTCGTGCCCGCAGCCTCCGGCCGTCTCTTGCGTCGTGCCCGCAGTCTCCTACCATTTCTGCTTGGTCTTTTGGTGATAGCCTGTCTGCTGCCTTTGATGATGAATGTTCACTTAGTGTGGGCCCCTTTGCAGAGAGGTAAGGCCGCTCATATCAAGAAAGCTGACCACCAATGCCTCCCTACAAGGTCCACTTTAATGGTATCTGATTGAGTTCTTTTGCTTTGTATTATTAAATACCCCCCACACGTTTCACAATAAAGGCCATAATTACTCTTCGAGGCTTTAGTAATAGTTTTAGCACTCATGGTGACCTGACTATACTGTGCTGTGTTCTGTATCGTTGGTGAAGTAACCACTTCCCTTCTGTGGTCTACTATTACCATTGTATCATCCTGTAGCCTAGAGTAATGCAGGGCATGCTGGAAGGTTACATGAATTAAAGGCATTAAACACACCTTGTGCAAAAATTTTATAATTGTACCCAAATTGAGAAAAAGTAAAAGTGCATTCATTAAATTTCTTCCAAGAGGTGTTTTTCTGAAGTTTTGGATCGCTGGGTGTGGTGTTCACATCAGACCAGGATCAAGTCATGTATGGCTGTCCTAAAGGTAGTTGGATGCGCAGCACAGTAGGTAGGAATACTGACATCTGCGCTCTGTGCCATGGTTTTATGATGTTATTACATCCATATAATAGTGACTAGGTGATTGCTGAACATTTCTCATGCTTGGACTTTGCATTAGGGTAGGGGAACAGTTTATGGCTGGTTAATAATATATTCAGCTCACATTGGTTGGTATAAGACCTTGCATTGTTCCCAGTTCTGAAGCTTGCCATACCCAGAAATTCACATTTTAGGACTCCCTCTGACTGTTAAGCAGCTCATACATTAAGCAATTTTCTTTGCTGTAATCATGGGTGGTTAGTGGATTGCTAGGCAGGATCAGAATAAGAGCCTAGAGCAGTGGCCTCCACACTGCGGCTCGGGCTGGATGTGGCCCTTTACTTGCCTTTATCCCGTCCTTTGGGCACCGTGCCTCCAGCGGGCGGCAGCCATGAGGCGTCGTTCCTCCCGCGGACGGCAGCGTTGGTCCACTATTTATCTCGTTATAACTAACGATGGGGTGTTTCCTACTTCCACTGGCTAGTGTGCCCCCCCCCCCCCCCAAAGCCTTAAGGGCCAGTTTCAGAAAACATGCATCCAAAATTCACAGAAAGCAGGTTTAATGTTTGTCGGTGTCCTAGTTCACATCAGTGCTTGTAGTTCCAGTGCGTTCCG